TTTTCTTAACCTTATCAATTATGTTATTTGTTTGTTAACCCTGTCCTTCAATCTGTCATGTGATTATTAGATTTTCCCAGCAATCCTTCTTCCTAATGTACCGTAGAAATTTCAACTGTCTCTTCCTGATGTTAAGTATAATTTTGCTTTTTGATTCTATTTTCTCTAAGACCTCGACGTTGATCTCATGTTCGCTACATGATATTCACATCATCTTTCTATAGAGCCACATTTCAGTTGCTTCACGTATCTTCTTCATCTTTCCGAAAAATTTCCAGTATTCACTACCATACCTGCTTAGATTTTGGAAGTCATCTTTGATTATCTAAATGTATCTTCGTCTTTCAATGTCGCACATTCTGTCCTCAGCTAGATCACTTACCAGAGATTTAAAGTTTTGTGCTTGGTTGGTTTTTGTACATTTGATTTGCTATTTTTTTTTTTATTTTGGGATCCTCTTTGCTGATAAACATGCATTCTGTTTTCTTTCACTTTATATTTGGTCCTTTCTTCTCACTTTCCTTCATTATCTTCTGTGTGAGGTTTTCTAGTTTTCTTTACGTGTCAGCTATCAGCACTGTATGATCTTCATATGTCATGTTGTGGCCGGGATTACGGATTCCTGGTAGGAGACCTAATCCTCCCAGAATTACCTCGAAGTCCACGTTGAATAAGTCCAGTGAAAAGACACATCATTGTCTTACACTGCTATTTATCTTTGTATATATGTTGATCAACTATTCTAACCATATGAAAGCAGATTTCTGACAGTATAGATTCTTGATTATAGTAATGTTATTCCCAATTATGTTCAGGTTGCTTATCAGATTCAACAGATCTTTGTGGCTTACTTTATCAAATGATGTTACCCACCTTTAATGTAACCTATTACCCTTTGCTTACTCTCGTCTTTGGACACAGATCAGGAGGATACATGCAAATACGATTTTGAAAATGAACATCTTTGTCATGACCTTATTTCAGAAGGTTCTGTCGATGTATACCATGATATCTTTATCACATTCCTACCAAATCCCACAAAGTCTGTTTAAACAGACACGCTGTGAAAATGCACTGGCACAATAAAAATATTAAGAGAAAACAGCTGGCAAATAAGAACAGTTGTAAATTTCACCTGGAAACCATCTATGACAAGCGTATGCTTGCTGTCTTTAGGTTGAAAACACGTATATTCTGGGATATTTATGAGAGAACAAAAATGGTGGACTGAGAATGTACTAAACGCAAATGTAACAACAAAACATTATATATAAACAAACGATACTATGTATTAACGAAACAAAGTTAAACATAGACAATATGCTAAATTTTGCCTGTTGCAAAACACTGAATCTGAAAGAAGAAAATATTGAAAGAATCTGTTTGCGTGTATAAAATTGGTGTACAAGAATTCCAAGCGAAAGGTGTTACATTAAAGAAAGTGAAGTGAAAGTTTTCTTCGCGATTGACCTACATCGTACCGTCCATGGGTGAAATAGGAAAAAAGAAAATTATTGGAAATTTTACCTCCTACGTATATACTTATGTAGCGCCCTCCTAGTGGCGGTTTTAGGAAAGTGAGTGGGGTAATATTCTTCAGTATTCAAATTTTGATATTGCATGACATTACCGTCAAGGCGCAACTATTAGCATCCATTTGTTCTATTAATGAAGACAAAATAATAAATCAGTTTCTTTTTTTTTTTTGTAAATAATAAAGTGCGACTAGAAGAGGTGAGGACGTATTTAACATTCTGAATACAGTATTTATCCGATATATTTCAGAAGCCCAATATTTTTAATACTAGCATGCAAGAGTAAAAAGAACTATTCTCACATCCACTGACAAAATGAATGCTTTTCAGAGAAATCTATGGATTTGGAAAAGAAATGCTGTTGAAGGCAATTTAGAAATGTTTCCATTGGTAAGTAACACTTCCCATAATTGCTGAATATTTAGTAAGTTTAGAGGAAAAACTGAGTTCTCTTTTTTCATCACATAACACTGAACAATACAATTGAATTGAAGTGATTTTGGTTTAACATTAACTGAAGAACTGTCAGCTGTATCCACTGCTCGGGGGTTGATGATTAAACCCAATGCATTCTCTGTTTAAGTTTTTTTTTTATTTCCATAAAAGATGAATATCTGCCAATGTCTAAAAAAGCTTTGACCATTTTACTACGCTTTGCAACATCATATTTACGTTAATTACGCTGTTTGCACTCATCCCAATTAAGTGCAGAAAGGGAGGAACTTTTCAATGTATTGACAATAAAATGAGTTTGTCTATCAAATATACGCCCAAATATTGATGAAATCGCCAATGTATATCAGACCCGTGTTTATCATAAACACAAGAATTAATACGCTTAAGATATGCTTCATTTTATATGTTTTGTTGGCTTATTGATTTTCGGCAATATTTGACTTCATTATAACATATTTTCTTCCGAACTTTGTATATACTGCGCCTACAATTATTGGTAGGATTTCATAGTGCACTCCGACTTCAAAAAGTTTGACAACCACTGGTCTAGCAACTAAATAAATACTTGTCAATTTTATGATTATCTATATTTCTAACGAATAAGCATGAACTCCTCGAGTTCAGTGAAAGCAACAAGAACATATTGATTCCATAACCGAAAAGTATTCTTGTTTCAAAATTCTGCAATCGTAAGATGTCAGTGGATACTACGAAATCTTCTACAGAACTTACTAAAATCTTGTAAGAAAATGAAGACATTTGAGCGGACTACACGAAGTATTTCAAAAGAATTGTATAAAAGATTTACCGAAAGTTGACAGAAAATTGTCCAATAATTCAGGGACAGCAATTATAGAAATTTTTATTTCACAGCATCTTTTAAAATTATTGCCTGTAATTTTTCTGTAGTATGCGAACAAGTTACGCTGAAACTCTATGTTCGTAAGTACCAAAACATTGATTGTTCGTTTCAGAGATATTTTCGAAGCGTTACCTTCACTTTAGAAGCGTCAGGCTGTTACAGACAATGCTGTGAATTACGGTGGGAAGTTTTACACCTAAGTTTCATGCTTGTGGAATAATCGTCTGGGCCAGTTTTACATGGTACGCTAGCTGTTGGAACTATTTCAGAAATCAATTTACATATGATGCTAGGATATAGCTTGGTCACGGAGTGATCAATATAGGACAAAGAAAAAATATGAACTTTTAGCACGAAAATATGACTAGCCATTGAGTAAAGAAAAGTTTTTCGTACTCCACTGATCACTTAGTATCTGCATGAATCGGCGTGATTTGAGTTGAGGACCAAACACTATAAGAAATATGTGGGGAATGGTGACCATTGATATATAACGGAAAAACTCAATATTACAAGACTGATAAAGTGAAAGAGGTTATCATGGATATTTGTGAGAATGATTCAATCTACATTCTCTGATATTTTTTGTGATATTTTGCATTTCAAGCTTTTAATAGTAATTGGGCCACCATAATATTCACGTTTGGGTAAAGAATTTTATCAATAAACGTCGATTTTGTATTATTCTTTTATTAGTAGACATTAAATAAAACGAAATTATCCTACAATAGGAGTAAAATGTAAATTTAGGCAGAAAATACATTGAAAGCATGGCATCGAAAATATAAAATCAATTTCCAAACAGTGTATCATAAATAAAGGCGAAAATAACCATAAGATTAAAATAATATTATATATGTGTATATATATATATATATATATATTGCTTTTTTTCTTACTTGAAATTGAGCAGTTAAAACACAACTTTAAAACCACTATTTTAGTGTTTGTTTATTTCGGTATATATATATATATATATATATATATATATATATATATATATATATATATATATATATATGTAAGCAAATATATGGATATAAATCCGACAGTATGAAAGAAAAATACAGAAAAAACAAAATTCTGAATATGCATTATTAATGTTAAAATAAAGTCGACGTCGGACGTTTCGGTCTATTTAAGACCATCTTCATGGACATTTTCATTTAAACATAATTAACATTATAACTTATAACAATTTAACACAAAAGTCCTTCCCGTTACAATGCAAATAAAAATTTTTTGTTTTTGTTTTTGAACTGTTGCATCGTTTTTGAAATCATTTTTGGATTTTTATAAAAATTTTTCAATCGACTTTTTGATATTTTAATTTTTGGAAATCATCTTCGAATACGTCTTAACAACATCGCCCACGAGACGACTACGTGATCATATTTAAACAGAACGCTGATCTGTATAAAATTTCAGTTATCTGTTTGAATTAGTTGGGCTCTTATGTCCATCGTCTTTTGTGTTAAATTGTTATAAGTTATAATGTTAATTATGTTTAAATGAAAATGTCCATGAAGATGGTCTTAAATAGACCGAAACGTCCGACGTCGACTTTATTTTAACATTAATAATGCATATTCAGAATTTTGTTTTTTCTGTATTTTTCTTTCATATATATATATATATATATCGGGGTTTTATGTAGTTAAATTGCTTTGGGTTTGAATTATTGAACTTACGCACGTATACACAGTTTTTGAGGTCATTGATAGGCCGGGGATCTCACTGGTAGCAAAATCAATGAGATCAAGGTCAACATGTGGCAATGGGTGGTTGCTGTTTTGCTTCTCCTTGCTTGCCCGGTGACTGTCACCCATTCATAATCGGTCAAGATTTTTAATTCTGGCAATCTAAAATAGTGGTTGGGTTTTCACTGTAGGACTCGCCCCTTCACAATTAAGTCCATAATTATTCCCAGTTTTAAGCGGAATACACGGGCGGTAATGTCATGTCTGTGAGTTTAATCCTGTCCGGGGAGGTGTTCACGCGTTATCTCAACCCATTTGGGGTTGCAGATAAACGTTACGAATAAGTCTGGCCTTCCATATTGCCTAACGTATGTCATAGCGCCCTGCGTGCGTTCATGCATGTAACGCAGACCCCAGTGTAGGTAGAAGGCAGAATGCACATCTTCCTTAGGTCGCGAGGATTGACTTCATTTCGTAGGCTGTCGCGTAAGTGTGCGTAGCACTCTGAGCTAAGCTGTTTCTGATGATTTCGTATAAAACAAAGCCTCTCCGATTCCACCTTAGCGGCCATATCAAGCGCAAACAGGTGGGAAAGCTCCCTGCATCTATGAAGCAGGTTGAAGTCTCCATCCCTAACCATGAAACGGTATGAGTAGAAGTCCTTGCACGATAAGATTTGAAGAACTTTGCAGGTTGGCCACCCAGAGTATGAAGTGGAATGCCGAAGTGTTCGTCACCATAAGGGAAATGTAAAGGATACTGCGATGCGTCATATGGTCGATGGATCTCTGAAATCCGACGAAGAGAACCGCCTCTTGATTTGAGGACAATATCTCGAGAGAGGTCTTGCTCCCCATGTATAATAACGACCACTTTGTTGCACGCAGGATCATTGTAGCGGCGTTTGTATTCACCATGAGGCCGTTTGTCGACTTCAATTACAATGCTGAAGGAAGGAAAGGGAGCATTTTCCAAAGCATATTTGAAACTGCTAATGTAGCTGTTAACCTCGTGAAGCATGGACTGAAGTAGTAGTATGTCGTCCCTGCGAGGAACTCTTACCGACGGCGGCAAAATACCAATCAGGGTTTCGCCCTGTAGTTTGTAGTCTGTAATAAAGTACAGTTGAAGGAATCTAGGCTTAGAGGTCTTCTCAGGCGACAGAGACCTGATGCGGTGGTATATCTGCCTCTTTGAAAGTTGGCATCCAACCCTCTTCTCGAACCACCTGACCCCAAATGTATTGCCTAAATGTTTTAATTAAGCGGTTGGAGTCGAGATGGGGGCCGGCTATTAGTCCCCTCAAAGGGGTGGGTGATTCATGCAGAGGTTGCTGTCGAACTTTGCCGGAGGAGCAGCACAGCCCAGCTGGCTCCGCGACGTATTTGCGAGCGTTGGCAAACGCAGGTCATGGACCCTACATTGAGGTCGTCACGCGTAGTTAAGTTAATTTCGGAGTCGTAATTGAAAGCCAAGAAAGACCAAAAAGAGCTACTGGGACAGGCAATAATACGGGCGGCCTCAAGGCGCTGAATATTGCCGTCTAGATGGATGTCGTGAGCTTCAGGGGCCATATTTTTAGCAGCCCTTGAAAATCCGTTTACTCTTGTCTGTGGGCCCACGGAGTTTCTGGCAGCAGAAGTCAGTGCAGCGTTGCGGGCATTGCGGATTGCCCGCTGCAGCTCTGTCTCAGACACCTTGCAGCAGCGTCCCTGGATTGACGTGCGCGCCTGCGCTCGAATGTTACAGCTGCTCTCGACCTGGCAGTGATGGCAGCATTCGTAGCATTTCGCATAGACCTACGGAGTTGTGTCTCACTTAGCCCTAGCGCTAGTTGTTGCAGCAGTGTCCCTGGATTGAGGGGGCGCCTGCGGTCAAGTGTCTGTATAGCCCTTGATTTCGCAATGGCAGAAGCGTTTCTTACGTTACGAAGAAGCCTTTGATTATGAGACTCGGAAGCCAGAGATGCAGAGGTGTTTGCTGTATCCTGTGCGTTCATTCTCGACCGTTGAGCATTCTTGAGCCCTTCTTCTCTCAGACAGAATGCTAAGACGTACCCTCCTTTTTAGCGGCATGGGGAAATGTGATGCTAGTAGTGGTTGATTAGGGTTGCTCTGTTGCAGGAGTACAAAGTCTAACTTAGTATTGAAAAGGGTGAGCCACAATCAGGAAGCCGTTATTTAAGTAAAACAACTGAATAAATTGTTTATGGTAGTTGGAAAAATGTAGTTAAACAGACAAATGGAAAACAAAACGTACGAAACAACTAGTGTTAGGAGAAATGATCAGTTGAAGGAGCCTATCGTATCAACCGGAAGGCGGCTTAACAAGAGCAGAAGTGAGACCTTTGTCCCACAGTTGTCCATAGCAGGTTCAAATGCGAAGTATTACTGGTCAATCGTTTGTGACAATCGGCGAGCGTCCTAGGTTCTCGAACACCAATCAGCGACCGCGTACTGCACCCAGCCAATGAGATATCGCTATGTGAAGCATGGTCACGCGTGTCTGAATAACAATCAGTTGTAGAGTCAGTAGTGTAGACGTCTCAGTTGAACATACGTTTGATTAGTGTATTAGCAAATTCCGATGAAGACATGATTGTATCGACTTCGCACAGGTATTAGTTGGTCAAAAAGAAGCTCACAGGGCAAAAGTTTTTAAATGGCACAACTAAGCCGATAAATTTAATCAAAATTCCAAGCAAGTTGCGAAAAACATCGCCAAATTAAGGTAAACTGCAGTAGCTTTTTACACCAGGACGGAAAGTTAGAAGGTTAGAGATTGTGCAGCTCAGATCGAATAATTTGGAAAATGATTCTAGAATAATATGAATATATTATAACATTATATCAATTCTTCATGTGTTTTCGATCCTTAGCTATGATTAATTAATGATGAAAAAGTCATTTTCGCCTATTATCAATTTCATCACGATTCTTCTGTTAGGCAAGCTGAAAGTAGATTCCAGTACTGTTATAAAAACTTCGGAGAATTTCAGTAAGATATCTTTGACCCTTTCTAAGATACAACGGCTGAAAGATTAATATAACTATTGCAAAATATTGTTGTTACACGATTTGGTCAATTTTGCTGTTACACATGCACACACTCTGTGTATATATATATATATATATATATATATATATATATATATATATATATATATATATATATATATATATATATATATATATATATATATATATATATATGTGTGTGTGTGTCTTTATGTATGTATGTGTGTGTGTGAGATATATATATATAGCTGAGGTAAGTTTTATGTCACTGGCTCCTAATAAATTTCGTACTCTAGGTGAGCTGGGGACGGTCTTTGGAGATATGAATATTTATACCCAATTGTATCGAAATCAAGTATAGATCTATAACATCAGTTATAAACAATTTTAAATTTAAATACCCACATGTTAGTAAACGCTACAGAAATTAACAACCCTGTGTGTGTGTGTGTGTGTGTGTGTGTGTGTGTGTGTGTGTGTGTGTGTGTGTGTGTGTATCAAACGTATTCATCTAATAGGGGCAGTTTCCTAACAGAAAGAACGACAAAAGCCCATATAAACATATATCGGCAAAACCATCGCAATTTTTTTTTAAGTTTAAAGAAAGATTAGGGTTGAGGGCGGATGTGTTGGCATGTAGAATCGGTTAAATTTGTTATTCGTGTATATTTTTGGTTAGTCTGTTTACAATGTTTAACGTGTGTAGTAGTGAGTTAACTGACAATTGTTCGTTTTAGCAATGACAGGTTATTCATATCGTATGAAAGATGATATTATTTTTACATACGGCCTCGATAATGGTAATGGATGCAAGACTGCACGGCTGTAACCGATTGCGTTTTCAAATCGAAAGCATTCGAGTTATCTTACCTTTGCTTCTGTTTATTAACGCATTGTTGAGACAGGATCTGCGGCCCAACAGCCTATGAATCGAGGAAAACAGAGATCTGCTCGTACCCTTGAGCATAAAGAACATATTCTACATTCTGTCGGAGACGATCCGGGTATCAGCACAAGTCAAGTGACCCTAGTATGTCGTAAATCTCAGTCTAATGTAATTTTTAACCTGTTTATTAACACGTTCAAGGATAACTTTACTTATCCTTCCAATCACCGATCTGGTGGGATTTATAATCCTTGTAGGAAGTTTTGTCTTGAATTCAGATTTATGGTCTTTAAGTAGGACATGCGATTCCTTGGTGCAAAGTTTACAAATTCTATTGCTAATTTTTAGTTTATCAGTAATATATTTAGTAGATGTGTTGATATGATCAACTCAATTAAAATTGTTAATATTTATGTTTTTTGTAATTATTGGTTAAATTATTTGTATTAGTGTAATGTAATTTGAAAATTATTAACGACCTTTCATTTTCATAAACAGAGAAACAAGTGTCAGAAACGTTTGAATAACATAGTTAAGGATATTAATAAATCTGAACAAATATTTATAAAATCTGAGAAACCTACTAATTTTTATAAATTTCATCCTAAGGATTACATGGAACTAATTAGAAATAATTTGAACCAAAATTTGTCTATGAAAATTTTAATCCTTATATGAAAAACAATGCCAATCTAATGTATCTCCATCCTAACTCCAATCACCTACCGTCTGCAATTCGGAATATTCCTTCCTCTGTAGTACGTAGAATTAGCAAACACTCATCAAAGTTGTTTATGAGAAACATAGTAATGTGTATAATAAATTCTTATGAATATTGCGTATAAGTGTTTGTGTGTGCATTTATTTACATTTCACTATGCATATATGCATTTATAATTATATATGTGCACCTTTTTCAGGTAATTATATTATATTGTGCAAGGAGAAGCTGTGTAACGTAGAGTTTATTAGGAAATGAATATTTTAAATATACAAGCTTAAATATATACTTTAACATTACTATTACCATATTCATACATTTGTTTACGTTTATGCCAATAGTTATGTGCGAAATGCACGTGTGAAAACACATTGTAGTGTTTCTTCCAATTTTCAAAAAAGAGGAAAAAGAGGATATTTCAGTTATATTTTTTCTTCGTACAACTGTTTTCTTTTCTGGACACGAGAACGTCGAAGAATGGATGTTTTTCTTTTTTTTAGCTCCATTCATAGCTAAATTTAAAGAGGGGATTTTTTTTCGTATATGGTTTTGAGATTTTTAATTTCTTGTTTGTTTTTTTGTTAAAATAAAATATCATCTACACATCAGATGAATATTTTGCGTTTAGTGAATTGTTTAGATATCGTCTATTCTACGTAGGACATATAGTGATTGGAGAAGCACAGGTCGAGACGATTTCCGATTTTACACTATTAGTTTGTAGATATTGTCATTATGGCCAAAGATAGGGATTTGGTTGTGCAAGCATGCAATAATCTTTTGAGGATATTTAGTTTGGATGGAGGTTGAATGGAATTATTTGTATACACAGAGTAGATTTGTAAATACGTGAAATTATCCATAATTACAATTCCACTACCTTTATCAGAGGAGGGGAATAAGAAGGTATTTTTCTGTTTTATATTTCTCTAGGGATTTTATATATCTGCATAGAAGTATTATTTCATTTGTCTTTCGAGAGCGGCTATAATTAAACCCCGGGTCTATCCTTTGTTGAAATCCGATTAATATGTTGGTTCTTTTTAATCATGAAGTCCGTGATATCATATTTCGATAATCCAGTAGCACAAATAAAACCAAAGATAAATGATTCCAGTTTTATATACGATGGTCTCAATTTGGATAACTTTGTAATTAATCCGTTTCTGCTGATTTTTGAAAAAAACATCCTTTTTTTTGTTTTTATAAGTTACTGATTTGTTTATTGTTCTTGTGACTGATTGAATTTCTCATTTCGTTCCGCTTGGGTTTATGAAGCTCATGTCATATTTGTGTCCTTTATTCAAAAACTTTGCTTCCTTTTCTTCAAATTCACGTGCTGAAGTTTTTAGGAATTCGTATGCATAGAGAGGACTTACGTGTACATGGTAGGAAGTTTTCATTAATCTATGTGAGCATTGATGAATCACTTTTTCTTCAATGCAACTGTTAAGAAAGGTTTCTTTTTTTCTTTAGGGATGTGAAAATAATAATAATAATTTGTATTTTCTAGCTCAGTCTAAGTGTATTTATATGTCTATGTTTTCCATGTTGATTTTTTCTTTTTAAATTTTCAGGTACTGTATATTTGTAAAAGGACAATATAAAGAACGACAAAACGAAAACTTATCTCAGCTGACGCCTTTCAGTCCTTTAAAAGACTTTATCAATGTAAATGTAAGGTTTCATTTTCTAACAAGAATTTATATACATGGTCAAAAACGATGTAGGTTTTTCAAAATTTTTGGTATATTCATCAGATTTCCTAATATCTTCAACACGTTAATTTGCAAGCGAAATTTATAAAAATGGATGTCAATTTAAAACAGTTCATAATCTTCCTGGAGCCATATTCACCACTTGGAATAACATTACAGCCAGCCGTATGCAGATATTGTTACTGACAACGCCAAAGCGCACTTTTGAAATTATTAACAATGACCGCCGTGCAACTCGCTCCTGCGATATCATTTGGGCATTTTTTACTAGAATTTAGCATTAATTTCCACTAAACAAATCTACTGTTAAATTCTATACAATTTTGTAATTTCTATTTTTTTTCCTCTTATTTTCATTATTTTAATATATAAGTGTAGATTGAAGTCGACACCCAGAGTTGACACTCTGTTTCAAGAT